CAAGGGTGTGCAGATGGGAGATGTATACGTCAGTTCGACGTGATGCATCGCGGTTTTACGCGTGACGATAAACGGCCGCGTCGCGTCTGCTTCTTGTCGCTAGTAGAGATTATCCGTAACGCCTGCGTAAACTACACGGCGGTTTTATCAGTACTATTATCGTCTCTCGTGACCGAGATGCTGAGGTAGAGCATTATTGCGATAAGTTTAACGTCAAAAATTTAAAACTTTTTATATATTCGTGTAATGATATATTTTATTTAAGAGATTACCAGCCGCTCTTTTACCGATGTTGTAATATTTAACAGTTTAATGCGGATACCGCGTTATCGGGGTTTTTAAACCGATTACATCGTGCTTGTTTTCGCGATCCTATCACCGTTCGCCAAAGTTTTTACGAATTTACGGCTCGATGAGTGCAATGTTAATGACATTCCCATTAGCAGTTTCCAGGCCTTGAAATGGCTCAAGTTAATACAACGACTTAAGTTTGTTCGATAATTACGTTCGTACGTGACAACATATCGAGTTAGCTAAAGAGAGTTTCTCCAAGAGATCAAGCGCTTGATATCAGAGAACTTCCTAAAAGATTGGCAACAGCTCTAAAAAAAAGACAATATCGTCTCGTTGTAAATTTCATTTTTCACTGGAATATCCGCACACAATCGATACGGAGTGTCGCTCTCCGAAAATCGATAATGTACCATAGACGAGGCAGTTTGTCTTCTTTCGAGAGAAACTCGACGAGCGGAAATTCACGTCAGCTGTGTACGAAGAAGTGCTTCCGACAATCGTATCATCAACATTCGCGTCAGTTTCGCTAAACTGCACGCTTTAATGTATCCTGCGTAACGCCTTCGTCGCACGCAGCGTGGCGCAAGTTCGTTTCATAATTATATTCCTATCTCTTCGATGTGAAACGGGGAGAGAAAGAGAATGAGACCCGCACTTTGTGCTAATAATAAGCGGGCTCCGTACGATAAAGACAAGTAAGTGCCGCGCTTGTTGTCACTGTAACGTAGTTTTCATAAACTTCGAGTATGTCGATCCACTTAAAAAAAATTTTTTTAGGAAATCAATACACAAGTATAACTACTTTAACTTTAACTTATTAAATTATATACAGGATGTCTCATAATATGCGTGATCTATTTCAGAAATGAATTTAGCACATAAGAACAATAAAAGAAAGTTTATATACAATAAATATAAATTATAGCGACTTTTATCTTTGAACAACATGTATTTATCTTCACAAGAGGTGAAGTCCAAATAATTAACTAGTTATTATCAAGAGAGAGGTTGCCATATATAATATAATTTATAATATTACATGTAATATTATTATTATAAATAAATAAATGAATAACAAATAATAAATATTTTAACTTAAAAACGATTGTAGATTCGATATTTGATACGCAAATGTTTGATTGCATTTAATTATTAGAAATAATTAAAATATTTTATGCTTTTTTAACCGGTCATTATATTTAGCAATATTGACATCATTTAATAATATATATATAAATATATCAATTCGTATATTCAATCAAAATAAATTTCCCAAGAAAAGAGAAGTTTTGCATCAAATTTTTGCATCAAGGAAAAATTGACACGTTATATCAAAATTGGTAAAAAAATCAAATATCGATGCGCAAGACGATTACTTGAAATTATTTTCTGTTGTAAAATGTAAAATAGAGATTGATTTCTCACAGAAACCATGTATGAATTAGTCACTTAGCAATTACTCAATGTGAAAAGGGGACTGGAATCTGTAGCGGCAAAGTCAATGCATGATTCGCAGCCAAGCAGGCATTGCCAACGTGGAGCTGACGGACGACGAGAAAGCGAATTACAGAAACCACCATAGTTTCCATATATACGCGCGCGTCGGCGACGCTTCGACAACTCGTCCGCGATGTAAACGGGCAACGACAATCACGAGGGAGGAAAAAGCGAGAGATTGCATTCATATACGAATATGATATTACGTATCAGGACCGCGGCGAGTATGACCAGCGAAACGAAATAACAGCCACGGGAAAGCGCGACAACAAGTAGAACTTTAGCCGTCATAAAGTAGCTTCTGATTATGTACACTAATGAAGTTTCTCGAATACCCGTCTCGCGAGTTAATCGCGGAATACATAGATAATCTAATCGTATAACGAGAATCAAGATTATACTTGTAGCGAATAAACTATGAAACGTAAATGATAATTTTTTCGCCGAATCTTTAATTCGTTGTTAACTCATAAGAATTAACGTAGACATCGTAGACTATAGTGGTAAACCTCCCCCGCCCATGCGTTTATTTTTTAGATATACATAGTAGTACTAAATAATTATCAGCTTATCAGTTTTCTAATATGATGTCTAAATGCATAATACTAAGGAATCCATAATTCGCCTGCTTTTAAAATATCATTAAATCATTAAAATGTAGCGCAAAGTTAGTTTTATATACTTTTATTATAAAATACTTGATGATTTTCCTCAAGAATAATATATAGTATTTGCCCGCTTTTAAAATATCATAACTCTTAATTATAGCCCGAAAGAAAGCTCCATACAAATTTTGAATAAAATCGGAGGTGAAGATCCTAATATTTACCATTGTAGTTAATTTGGAGAGAGTTCACCATAACATTGAGATATACAATAAGAGACTTGTTATTGCCTACATCACATTTTTAGCGACACCTCGCCAGCAATGCAGGAAGACGATCTCTATTTCTCTTCTCTTAGCGCTCGTTTTTATGTCTCGGCGTCTTACTCTCGCGCGTGGGATATAATTGTCCCAGAACAAATGAACCACCGTCTCCTCTTGCTCTACCTTGCCTCGTAAGGAATTAAAAATTTCAGTCGCTCGACCTGACGTCCTGTCGCCCGACAAATTGCCACCGCAATGAACGTGACGGCTCGTACCAAATGCGCCTCTAGCGTGACAAGAAGGAAAGAAAAAAAAAAAAAAAAAAAAGAAAGAAAGAACAGACACTTCGCTAAACGAGACCTTTGACGGAAATTGAAAGGAGGAATTTCGAATTTAAGAGCGACCCCTATGGAATTTCAAATACCTCGCGGCATTCTTCAATGTGCACAACACACGACAAAGATGTCTTGTAATAATCGACAATCCGTGAACCAATTTTTTTTTTATTATTACAGAGAGAAAAAGGAATTTTTTCTTGTTACAACAAAAGACCTGTCTAAATATTTTTAATCGACAAAAGCGCTCTTCAAACCGACGTGGATTAAATGGATGGCGAATGATTACGAAAGCAATTTTTCGATCGATCAATGTAATAATTGTTGATCCTCGAGACTAACGTGGGCGCGTTATGCAAATACGGCTCAATGTCGTATGATATTTTCATGATGCGGATTCAATCGACCGCGCAACTAGCTGCCTGCATGTACGAGGTCGTAATATTGGTTAAACGAGTTGTATGTCATTCGCCGACTGTCCGCGAAATCTGCAAATAATTTCGTGACGCCCTCACGAAAGAATCGCGATAAATCTCGTGCAATTAATGGCATCTTCTGTAGTATTCCGCGTTTATATAATAGACGCCTGCGAGATCGATCGAGGATCTTTATGCGTAATAATACGTATTAATCTTTAATCAGATTTCTTCCTGAGTTATATAGTCCACCAGTATCTGCGATCGAGTTTGTTATCGCACAAAGAGAGAGAGAGAGAGAGAGAAAGAAAGAGAGGGAGAGAAAGAGGGAGAGATATGTAATGTTTTTGATAATCGATTACTACAGCCGAGAATTCTGTCACAACCGTCGATTATCATGTCAATTGTGGATTAAACGGGGGACTCGCGTTATCATAAATGCGGCCCAGGGCCGATCCAATTAACGCTGATCGCCCAACGGCAACGTTTTCGCAAGCGTGCATCATCTCCCCCTTTTATCATCTTCAATTTCGGGTGCGTCAAACGACACGCAGAATATTCCATTTATTTGACACCAATATTTCATGTCGACCAATTTTCCGGGGTTGTATGAAACTAAACTTTTTGTGTCGCGATGTAGTTATTTATAACGACCGCATAAAATATATCGATGTCCCCCGCAAAAAAAAAAAAAGAAAAAAACGGTAAATGGCATGAATCAGAATTTAGAAAATCGTGTATACTCCCGTTCTGATGAACAAAATAATATAACGCGAGAACAATATTCGACAAAATTTCTTCCGCGTAATTCGTGCCACAGTAAATCGCAGCTATTATGAATTTGCCGCATTTTACGCATATGCAATCGTAACTTTTCGCGTTATTAAATTCCGCAATAGGGGAAGGTATTTATATATTTCATCAATTTTTACTGTTGCAGAAATATATTTTAAATGCAAGATTTATTATCGCGTAATACTTGTTATTCTGAGTATCGCTCACAAAAGCGTCCATAATTACCGTCGTTATTAATACCTTTATAATAATCATTGTCCGTTGGAACATTTGCCGATTCCAAATCGCAAATATTTTCGAGTGATTAATTATCCTACGCTTTGCGCGCTCGCAGCGAATCGAAGTCGTTTAATTCACGAGCACTGGGCGTCGACCGAATAGTAGTCGATCGATGGGATCTTTTTTCCCCATTCGAGGCTTAAGTCTTAATCCGTAGATAAGCTTCGCGTACACGTAGAGACACACATTCACGTATATATCCACCGATATACATTTGAATCTCCGCGAGTACGACCAGACTTGGCGTTTGTTTCGAATAAAAAAAAAGGACCGAGCCTAAATTGATGGAAACGCTCCAAAGCTGTTAACGGACTGTTTAATTTTAACGTTCGTAGCTTTACATCGTAATATATCGTCCCGCGATGTAGTTCCGTCGTCCTTAAATTCTCGATTCCCGCTTTTTCATTCGAAACGTTTGCGGATAATTCTTTTTTACGTCGTGTATGTCTTTTTATTTCGTTTCATACAACTGCGAATTTATCAAATCTTTGCAAATTTAATGTTACAAAATCTTACCTTAGGAATCGTGCAGCTTAATACGGTGTGTAATCCGGTACGAGAGAGAGAACCTTTAACAAAAATATAGAAAATATTAATAATTACAATGAATGTTATACAAGACAACTAACTGTGTTAAATAAATGATAATTATCGGATAATCCAAATGCTTTCAGATATTGTAATTGATATAAATTAACGTTAATTATTGTATATATAGAAATTATTTTCATTTGCTAATATTATTATATAATCATCGAAATAATAAATGAATTTCTCTCACCGAAGTCCCAGAATTGAGGCGAAAAAGGATATTAGTTTTGATTTTGGTTCTCTAGTTATAATTCATAAAGGTATAAAACACAATTATGATATGTATACATATATTGTTATATGTATATAATATTTTTTAAACAAAAATAGACGCACGCGCGCGGCGAGACAAAGGAAATTAGTCAACATAAAGTGACACGTATTTTGTTTACATTTTTGTTTGATAAATGTCTATTTTACACCAAATTATGCAACAATTTATCCATTTATAAAATATAACAGGAAGATATTATTTGCATTTCATAAACACACACACACACACACACACACACACGTTAGTAATATTCTGCAAATGCTATAAATAAATCAAAAGAGATGTTTTACAATTAAAATTAATAGTTACATTATATATCGATTTTTACGCGCTATCGATCAATTAACAATACTCAATTAACTTTCTGGTGATAATCACCGTTTTGATATAATTTATATGTTAATAACCAACGCGACAAATTTCGCGTTCCAAGTATAGTAGGAGGATAAAGCGTCGTACAAACGCGTAAATTCAGGCTGTTGACAAAATTACAGCATGCCCGTATATATACATCATCGGAATTTATAAAAGGACTTTCATTCATCAAGATCCTTTTCTTCCGCGACTGCAGGCAGGTCGACGAATGGACAAAAGAGAGGGATGGGAAATATTAATTTATGACCAGGACGAAATTATGCACGCCACTAAATCAGGACCACCGCCTCTTTTGTTCGAAAATTCCGGTCCTGGTCCTGGCGCCTTCAACTGGTAAACCGCCACCACCGTCGAGGAAAGCATCCATCGTCCTTCGCACGAGAGGTCACACGGAACCGCCGCGCCGCCTCTCTTCCTTCTTCCTCGGGAATCCCTCCGGCCGACATTTAGGCTGATTTCAGCACCCACCGGTAATTGACTGTCGACGGGCTCACGTTAAGATTTCGGGCGAATCCGGGCTCCGAGGATCGAAGCTCATTCGTCGTCGAAACTTTGAAACGCTACTCAGAAATGTCAAATATATCGCGCCTCGACAAGAGAGACCGGGAAAAGGAGTCGGCGAGAAAAATCACTTATGTCGCGGGAGGGAGTTGTGCGGATTCCCCCATTTCGGATGTGTATAATTTTTCACGTTCACATGGATCGCTCCACCAAAAATTCCATTTTTTTCTTCTCTTTATGTAGATCCTCTCATTCATGCCGCGAAATGATAAATATGCTATTTTCCGACTAAGGAAAAATATTTTCTACGAACGCGAGATATCTCTCCAAGGATCGCCGGACATTTTCCCCGGGTTTGAGTTTGATGTATTGTTAATGGTATTAGACGCGACTGTTTTTTTTTTCAATTTACCCCGCTATATGTTACAATCAATCTCAAGCATAGGGCTAAAAGTAAGAGTGGTCATTTTTTATAATATTAGTAATTCTTATATTTATAAATGAAATATTTTTCAAAAGAATATGCGATTCTGAAGCCAGAATATAATATTTTCAAATAATCTATATAAAGTAAATTAAATCTTAATACGAAATACACAGGGAATAATTCTTTAAAAAATGTTGCAATCAACTCCGATCTCTCCTATCGTACATTAGGGTGACGAAACAAAATTTGACATCACGCACGATAAGTACTGAATTACGAGTATTCTTTCCCGTCGGAGATTCCCAATCATTTTATGCAAATCCACGGCCAACGGAGAGTTGATGAACAAGCGTCTTTTAATGGTACCGGTATCACCATTATCGAATACATAGCGGATCGTTAAGCTTCCCGAGCCGCTCAGTAAAGAAGATTATACTTCAGCCAGTTAATCTAGTTAGCTCGTATATAAATTGCGCAGAGTTTCATCTGACAATAATGCCGATGAATATAGCATCTGTCCTTATTTTGTACTCTGTGTATATAATTTTTCGTACGTATAATATATTTTTTACAATATCACTAAAAAATGAAATATCGATAAAAAATTTTAAAATAAATAATATTGATATGATATTTAAAATTTGCGTATCATTCTTTTTAGATATTTTCCAACAACACAATCGTTTATCGCATACAAACTGTTGTTACAATATACGTAAAGCTTCAAATCATATGTAATTAGAACTAATTATAAGAACAACTGCGAGATTTCATCCGTTCACCGAGTCTCTTATTGTCGTGGCCCGATTCTCTCCTTAGTAATGTGTTAAGTCAGGTATTATTCTGGCAAAGCCGCATAAATCCCCTCTCTCCCTGGAATACATTACGGTCGGTTGTAATGCGGTGAAGCGGGAATAATGCGATTTGCATAGAATAATTCCGGCGCAATATGCACTCGTTTGGTAGTATCGTCCCTCTTCGACTCGCGCCGCGTTTTTGTCGCCAGTGGAAAAAGAAACGCTTAGTGAGACGCGACGACGATGACGACGACGATCGGGGCTTGGGTTAAGCGGAATCTCGCGAGGCGAAATAATATAAGCATCGTACATCGTGAGCAATGTAAACACACACACATCGATGTAGGTAATGTATTCGATGACACAAGAAGCACGTCGTTCTATCCGAGAATAATTGTCCACCCCTTCTCTATCCCCCTACTACCCCCTTCTCGAGAAACCCTGGCAATATCTTTTATTTATGAGTTCTCCACTCCTGGAGCTCGCGAGTTCGCTGCACTTCTGTGATCCGTTGTTTTTATCCAACATCGATCCGGATTCCCATACACCGTCATCCGCCTCCGGAATTTACCGCCGCTTCTTCATAGCGAGCGTGAAAATTGTTTGCGAGTTTCAACATTAGGGATTTCTTGCTTTGCACAGGAGCAAATTTTCTGTCTCCTCCGCGCATCCTCTCCGGTAAATGTTTAGCATAAATACATAAAGTCCTTGATTTCCGCGCGACGTTTATGTTATAAATATAATATATAAATAATGAAGTAACCCCCCGAGGGCTCCTTCTTAAATATTTATTTGTAAAATAAAATTATATAAAAAAAAATTATTAAAAAATATATTTATATTACGGTATATTAATGCATTGTTAATTATTGCGTGTGCCTTTGATATAAAAAAAAGAACAAATTTATCTGTCAATTTTCACGAGAAAGAGAATTCTTTTTGTCATTTATTATTAGAATATTATAATTCCCGTCTCTTGTTGCATCAGTGTTCAAAAAAGACTGCACGCCCGTCAAATGGATAATATTATTAGCGTTTATTGTTACAGCAACCAAAGAACATTAAAATGAATATTAATGATACACTCATTGCCGGTAAAGTGATAGGCCGATAGAAGCCGCTGCAAAATTTCATGTACAGTGATTGTCGAAAATCATGTTACCAAGAGTAATCGAAATACGATACTCTCTGGAGTAATAAAGCTAAAGCAATTACGCAAACATTAAATATGCATAATGTGACTTCGGATTCGATACTACGTATCGTTACTACGTATGCTTTTTTTTTTTTATCTTTTTGCAAACTAGTGAAATTTTTGCGAGATATTAATCGTCATTCAACGCGTCCGGATAATTTTGTAATGGACGTCAAAATGTTTTCGTATGTTCGAGCGCGCGCGTTTCAATCAGGAATTTTATATTTACGCGGCGCGTCCTACGATTTACTCGTCACCTCGCAATATTCCGAACAAACGGTAGGGAATTCTATTACGGCACATTGTGTATGTTTAATTACTGTGCCGGTTAAATACATGACACTTTATTTTAATATTCGTCTCCCGAGATGGAAATCCGCTTTTTGGGCGAATGTCGGTATCGCATCGTTTAACGGTCTGCCAGTTCTGGCAAATCTAAAAGCAAAAAAAAAAAAAAAAAAAAAAAAAGAAAAGAGAATTTAACAGAACGACAAGAGGAACTGCAATATGTGGAGATCAAAATCGATGGCTATTGAAAAACATAGAGACATGCAGAGTCAAGAATGAAATATTTTTTTTGGATTCAACATCTGACAAGGAAGGAAAAATCTCGGTTAACTTTAACCGATGTTTAATAAGCTTATATAAATTGCGAAAGCGACGCAAAATCGGCCAGTAACTCGGCTTTAATTGGGAAATTAGACCAGCGAAATAGCTCGGAATATTATACAGGTAGGATAGTTTATTCGCGCGTCAGGATATCAGGTAGATGGACGCTTCTTCCCTTAGAAGCAACCGGGAGGAGGCGTGGATGGGTCAGTAATTTATCTCGTATCGCGCCGATTTGAATTACAAATTCGCCGAGATTGCAATTTTACTATACGGTCCGTGCAGACGGTGTTGCGACTATACACACGCGCCTGCGTACATACATCTATTCATTCAAATATACAGGATGTATCAAAAATCGAATAGACTGAAGAAGAAATTAAAGGGAATATCGTCGCAATTTCAAATTCCGAGCAATCGTTGAACGCGGGAAAGCAAATATTATCGATGTGGCAATTAAGAAAAATTGATACTTCGCTGATTTCTGTCTAAAATATATAATTATCGAAATAACATCGAAGAGATTCCAAAGCGATCTCTATATATACGGCGACAAACGGCAAACTTGCTTCGTGGAATTAAGTCCGGACATTAAAAGCGGAGCCCCGGTAAGGGCAATAAGAGATTTACATAGTGAAGTCGGTCGTATTATCGTGCCGTGCGTCCCATAGACCGCGTGCGTGTTATCGCATAGGGTAGGCTGATATTTACATTGCTATTAACATCTAGTGTCCCACGCTGCTGCAGTGTCCACTCGTGCTGACGTAACGTGCAGCGCGAACGCTCGTTAATTCGTTGCT